TATGGTATATGTATATATATATGTGTGTGTGCGTATATATATGTATGTGTGTGTTTGGTTGTGTGTATGTTGTAAACTGGAGTGAGTCCTTTTACTATCTATCTAATGATGTCGTCCATGTCAGGACATGTTTATTTATGTTATTTATTACTCCCATATATACGGCCATATATACATAAATGTATACCTTATAGTATATATGCTTGGTAGAATGAGTGAATTTTCTCGATGATGAACTCTCTGTCACGTGAAACCTATCCCAGAACATGGCCAGTGATACACACCAATACATTTAACACAAGATACTTAGGTACAGTAGAAAAGAAGCATTACACACCCATACGTTTACCCAAGCCACTTCAGGCAAGGCAGACAAGGAGCATTGTCTTGTCCTATGATCAGTGCACAGACACACCCCCAAATACAACACAGCTTTGTGCATCGTTACACTCAAATACAACACAGCTTTGTGCATTTTTACACCTTATACGGGTGTCTTCACCGATATAAACACATGTGGATACAAATGGGTGAACAGACCTCTTTCAGTTGCTTGAAAGTAGCAGCTCCATTCTGAAGGGAGAAAGAAAACCTGGGTTTTAATCATGTCTAGTTTAGGATGAGGGCGTTCAATTTGGGCACGTGGAAACCGATAGGTAACAGAAGTCGCACACATTCATGTATTTAGCACAGAACACTCATTAACAAGCCTAAACATGTCTAATTCAGGATATGATCATACAAATTTCACCTTCTCACGGTACATAGTATGTTACACCTATCTCATCACCACCCATGTCATATCAGGTCAGCAACAGTTGCAGACATCAGACAGCACTATATAGTACAGATATATGTTAGCATAGTATGTTACACGTATCTCATTACCACCCATGTCATATCAGGTCAGCAACAGTTGCAGACATCAGACAGCACTATATAATACAGACATATGTTAGCATAGTATGTTACACGTATCTCATTACCACCCATGTCATATCGGGTCAGCAACAGTTGCAGACATCAGACAGCACTATATAACAGACATATGTTAGCATAGTATGTTACACGTATCTCATTGCCACCCATGTCATATCAGGTCAGCAACAGTTGCAGACGTGCAGACAGCCAACCCATGTTATTCCTATGCGACTATCGAGTCATATGCCCATGCAAGGCAGTGTACTATGCTGAAACATAATACACCTTCTCACTGTACCTATGTTGTACCTCTTGTATTACTATGCATATCATATCAGGCCAGCAACAGTTGCAGACACACAGACAGCCAGCCAACAGAACTCATATGCGCCGGTCGAGTAGTACTGGTTTACCGTACGACGAACGCAAGACTAGCACCGCGCCGAAAGGGCAGACTAGTGTGGGCTCCCTGACCACCCCGGCCACATGGACAATAAATACGACAAATACGACAAATAATCAGTCAACGAATGCGAATGCGAATGCGACGGGCAAGGAAAACGGTGAGGCCAGACAGCCCAGAAAGAAAGCGTCGGATATTCGGCGCAAGGGATCAGTCCGAGGGGGGTTGAATAACGAGCTACTGGAAGAATTCGGACCGGTGTGTTTTAGTTGTGTTTGCTTTATTTATGAAGTGTGTGTTTTAGTTGTGTTTGTTTAATTTATAAAGAGTGTTATTTTTTGTGAGATGATGGTTATTGATTTTGACAGATATTGTGTTTGCAGGTAGAGACAGTAGTTGTCGTAGTTATAGCAAGCCGATAAAAGACATCGAGCCAACCATATGCATCACTAGATATATACACATATACTCACATCAACTGTATACATTATTACAGACACACACATATACGTACACATTCATACACTTACACATTAACATACGGGAACTATATACGCACGCAAACGCATACAGATAAAAGATCTCTGTACTTCACTAGAACACACATGCATATACACATACACGTACATGGACTATATATATCACTCAATACATACACATAAACATACTTGATGTACGCCACTATATGTAGACAAACACACATACACAAACATACTAAATAAATATACAAGGAGATGCACATATGTACTACTTGCACGAGTGACGTATGCATGAACCTATAGCTCAAACACTGCTCTGTGAATTGACAAGTGTTCTATGTACATCATGACCTTATTATACTGTAAAGTACATCTGTCAATGAGATCGTATTCTCATACATACTTTGCAACGCTTGCGAATAAAATATCTCAGTTCCATCACGTTTACCTACCTGAACTTAATTCACACACGATTAAACTGTGTTTACACAGACACATAAACACTACTTGCACGTATTACCCGTGCCTACATATTGAACTTACAGGGACGGTCTTTAGAGACGCGGCGATTGCGCTACGCTTTAGCCGGGGCATATGGGCCCTCCACCCGAAATCAAGGTGCAGGACAGGGTAGTATGCCTTCCCTCAACTCCGACAGTGCCAAATTAGGTAGCAATTACGGGAGCAACCCAGGACTGAGCAGCAATTACGCGAGCCCAGTACAATATACCGGGATGAGAAGTGCGGCTAGTGACGGTAGCACAGGCACCACGAGTTTTACTACCGCTCTCAGTACTGGGGAGAGCGACTACTACGGCCATGGCAGAGGGACTGCTGGGTCGAGTTTGGGTTCTGGGTTAGGTTTAGGGTCTGGCCTAGGCTTGGGTTCTGGGTTGGGTTGGGGGTCGGCGGCTTCGATTGCGGGTATAAACTTGGGGTACTCGAATAGTGCGAGTGCGAATTTGAGCATGACTCTGGGGGGTAATCCTCCAAATATGGGCAAAAGTAACTCCAGAGGCGATGTCGTGGAGAAAGGTAAAGGGAGCTCGAAGGTGAAAATCCACCACGATGGGATAAACAATACCGGTTCGAAAAGCGGAACGAACGCGGGGAATATCAGCGGGGGAGGTCTTCTGCAACGGCTCAGCGCCGCGTCTAAAAATAGCGCAGCCCAGATGGCGAGGAAAGTGGGGCCAACTGCAAGTAAGACGGGTGTTCGAGCCGATATGGGCGCCAAGAATCCCGGGTACCTACCGGATGTGAGGGTGGATATGCAGCAAGAAGCGGGGCGCAGGAATAGCAACAGTGATAGAAAGAAGGTGGAAAAGGGGGCAAGCGCAAGCGGCCGCTCCAAATCAAAGTTCTACACCTACCACAGTCGGCGGAAAAGGACCGGAGAGGAGTGGCATGAGGAGACGGGTTCGCCCAATACTAGCCTGGATAGGGCAGGGGGACTTGATAGAAGTTTTAGAGGGAATTATATGGGGAGTGGGTCGAATCTCGGCAGCAGCGCTTCGTTCCGAAGGTTTAAGATCACTCCCGATAGCAACTCAAAGGAGCTGGCGCCTAACGACGGGGCAATGGGCCATAGCAGACGTAGTAGCGACGGTGATGACAAAGAGATGAAAGGTTTTAGTGCAGGCACGGGCGTGAGTTTTGCGTCGGTTGTTAATGACAACGATATTGATATAGCTGTCGAAACGGCATCGAATACGGATATGAACGCTATCGCTCCGGTTGCGAGTCAGGAGGGGGAGGGTGGTAGTCATGGCAACGGTGTCCATAGCAACGGCGGCGGTCGAGGCGTGACGGTGAATAGGCGACAGAGGTCACACGCGCACCTGAAAGCGAAGAACAAATATAGGCGGCATCGTGCCAAAAGCTCTCCTCTGATTACATTAGAGGAAAGCAATTCTCCGGCGAATCAGAAAGCTTCTAAATATAGAAGCCTGCGGAAGATCAAGCACAAGGAGAAGAAAAGTGAGGAATTTGAGATGAATGAAGTGTCGGATTCCCGGAGGGCTGGTACTGTGTATAGCGCTCGACCCGAAAGTTCGGTATCTCCGTCAAGGTACAATACACGAACACAAAGGCAAACACGAATGCAAACGCAATCACGGAGTGTGGATAAACCAGCTGAGTTGAGTGACGAGGATGCGGATGACGAGCTCACTATGGCGTCGATGCTAAAATAAACAAATTGAATAGATAGTGTATACAAAACATCCATGGTATTCTGGATATGTATGTAAGAATATATCTGGCTCAACAGTGCGCATCTGGTAGGCAGCTGTGATATACGATATCAGAAGTAGTACAGGTGATTGCCTTCACAGGGCAAGTCCATAAGAGTGCTTGCTGGTTGTAGAACTCCTATCAGATTGCATTGAAAGACGATTGTGTATGTTATCCGGTGTGTATGGGTAGCATACATACAACAGTTGTAATCCATCAAAGTCGGGGGTTTTGATACATTCACATATATACATACA